TACTTCAAAATAATATTAATAATAATAATAACAACAATAATTTTTTTTCCTCCCCTTTTTTGTTTTTGTTTTTAATTTATAAAAAAAGCACAAGCGAAAAAAAAGAAAAAAAAAAAAAAGGGAAAAAAAGATAATTTTAAAATTGCAAACAATGACATTAGACTTTTAATATTAAGGAAGAGTTTCAAAAACAATGAAACGGAAAACTGATGAATGAATCTATAATGAGATAGAAACAATACAAGAATGACAACAATAGAACACAATAATTCACACGGGACTAATAAAACACATTAAAATTAGATTGTATTTCCTGCCTATAGATTTATGGTAGTTAATTCATCAGTAATAATTTTTAAAAAAATCTTTTCTTTATTTTTTGACCCGCTGTTTTTTTTTTTTTCTATTTTTCATATCTTTTTTTTTTTTTTTATAAATATAAAATAACAAACGATAACATTTACAAAATTTTCGCCATTTTTTTATAAAATAAAACAACACACGTTTGTTATTGTATTGTTTTCAATGTTTAATTCCTATTCAAATCTAAATTTAATGCATTAAAACAACAACAACAACAAAATTAACGTTTTAAATTTTTTGTTTTTTTAAATAAAAACATAATCTAATCACGTATTGATTGTTTTTGTTTTTAAATTATGTTTATGTTTTTCAATTGACAACCCGGTCATTTAAACGTATTACGTTTCATTTGATTTCCTAACCTACCTTTACACTTGTTAAATTATTTTTTTAAATGCTCCCTCCCCGCCGCCCCTCCCATTTTTTCTTTCGAATAACAAACAATTATAATTTGTAGTTATTGTTAAGTTTATGTTAAACAATATCTCGCCCACCCCTACCCCTAATTTATTACCAAAATAATTATTTAAATAAATAAAAAATATTTATCACGACGTATATATACTTCCTAAATTTTTTTTTTTATTTTATTTTTGTAAAGTAAATTTAATTTTTTTTTTTTTTTTCTTTTCGTTTTTTCCTCGATAGTATTTTCGTTTTGAAATTTTGAAAAGAAACGCGTTCGGATATTCTGATCTTGGAAAATAAAAAAAAAACGAACGAACGAACGAACATGCCTTTGAAATTCTTTTTGAATAACGCTAAATTGTGCCCACAATACTGAAAATCTCACTGAATAGCGTTAATTTCGGCTATTGAACAGAAAGTGGAAAAACATTCTGCATCAGAAAGATACACTTGTTTAGTGCCTCATCTTTCTTTTTTTTTTTTTTTTTCATTTTTTTTTATTATACCCCTTACATTATACATTAAATCGAAATGTTAAAATGAAACTTTCATTAGGCACGCAATTAAGAATACTTCATTCGTTTTCGATTTATTTATTGTCTGTATTAAAGATAATGTAATTTACATATAAATTAATACAAAGTTTTCTATATAATTTCTTTTGATTGTTCCATTATGACTTTAAAAAGAAAATTCCATGTTTATTTTTTTTCTTTGTACATCATCATTTAGTTAAGTTGTTTTGGAAAATTTTATATTTTTTTTTTTTACAACACCCGGCTTTTCATTAATCATTAAACTACCACCACCACCACCATCACCATAGTCTACCCTATTTATTATTACATATGTATGCATGTGTGTGTGTGTGTGTGTGTGTGAAAATTATGAACGTCCAACCGTCATAATATTACAACAAACCATGACTAAGCGTTTAAAAAAAAAAAAAAAAAGTTCATTTATGTTATAGTAGTAGTCTAGCATAAGGCGTTCGTTTATTCATTTACAACTGTCAGTTTATTATTATTAACTTGACGTCTGCTTTTTTTAAAATCTATATTTTTTTTTTTTTTTTTTGTTGGGGGGAGGGATATGTCCCAATGTATAAAAATTGAATTAAAACTAAACTATTATGTTTTATGAAATTTAAAAAAAATATAAAAGGATACAATTGTTAAAAAGTGTGTGTGTGTGTGTTTTGTAATATAAGAGTAGTCAAATTAAACAAACAAACTCTTGAATTACCTTCTTGATAAAAAAAAAAAAAACTTGTTAGTTCTTTATAATCACATTTGCAAATGAATGAATTGATATAATAAAAACTTTTTCACACTTCACACCCTCAATTCATTCAAAATTCAATTATTTTGGGACCGACAACAATTCATATGTTACACACAACATAATATTTTATATGTAACTCAAAAAGAAAACACAACATTTCAATTTATACTTTTACAAAATACATACATGCATGATATGAAATGATGATGATAATTACACCTTTCATCAATAATCATTTATGAAAATGCTGTTTCTTTTTAATACATTTCAAATTTTACAACATGATGTATAATTTCAACTTATTTAACAATGGATTATTATTATTATTCATATTATTATCATGAAGAACTAACTTATGGGTGATTATAAAGTGAAAGAAAGAGAAACAAGTTTATCACTAATCATTATGGCTTCAATTAAAAAAATTTTGGTTACAAAATGATGGATATGTACTGAAATTGCGTATAAACATGTTTAAATCAAACTTTAATACAATATAAAAAATAATTGAGTGTAAAAACCAAAAAAGAAACCAAAAAATTTCTTGAAACTAATTACAAAATTATTAGGAATTAGTCATTATTATTAGTATACAAATTATTGCTGTCAAATGCAATTTGTTAATTCTAACAACCAACAACAACAAATAAATACATTTATGATTAAAAAAAAGTGAAAAAGAATTGAAAGAATATGAAATTGAATAAGAAAAAAAAAATTTGATTAATATACATATATACTTCATGAAAGTGGCAGCAGTTTATTCCCCCGCGAAATTGAAGAAATTATTTCTAGAACTTTTCAATTTACCATATACGAATATATAAATGGATCAATATAAAAATAAATATTAAACATCTTACCTTACCTTCGTGAATATTTTCTCTCGAAATCATCTTCTTTAAATTTATAAATCAAAAGATACAATAATATATATCACCTCACGAAAATAATTCACACATAAAAAAAAAAAAAAAATTCACATTTACTACCATTATGTACGGCACTATTGTAAAATCCCGACACTTAAAACTAACACAAAACGACAAAAAAAATTAAGTTTTACTCAATTTTAATATATTATACAAATAAACGTGAAAATAAACTAACTCGTGTGTGTACGTTTAAAACACGCGAAAATAAAAAAGAAAAACTTAAAACGTACAAAAAAAAAAATTTTTTTTTCTTTCCACCATATAATATGAATGTAAAACCGACATCGCGCAACTAACGAGAATGTACGAGATAAGGCGGGAAGTCTGTCGCATTGTGCGCATGCTCGACATTTATCCATTTACGCGGGGCATAAGAAGGTGTTAAATAAACATTTTTTTTTTAAAATCATAATTAAAATTATTATTCCGAGAGAAATTATAATTTATCAAACGTTTAATATATTTAATTAAATAAAAAATCACTTCAAGTTTTTTAAATAAGTAAATAATATATTTTTTCCCCTTTTTTTCTTTTTAATAACAACCGTTAAAAAAAAAAAAAAAATAATAATCGCGAAATTAATCATCCTTTTAATTTTAAACCTTAAATGAATTAATATCGTACATGATAATAACGTGCGACTATGAGTTTTTTATAATTATTCGTTTAAATTTTCTATATACACGTTAAAAATTTAATTATCGAACGATCGATCGTGTTATGGACGTTACTCATAACGAAAGAGTTAATAAAATAAAAAAAATTTTTTTTCCCAATATTTTTCCTTTAAGATTCGATTCGAATCGAATTTAATTATTTTGATTACGATATAAAATATAAAAGGTAATAGATAGTTGAATAGGGGTAAAACGGCGAGTTTATTTATTGAGGAATTACATACAAGCGTTCGTTTCATTGTCCAAAATTTAATATTAAAAGGGGGGTTTTCGCCCCCTCACTCCCACCCCTTTAGTTCCATCTTCTTTTTTATTATACCACATAACCTTTGTTAAAATGCTAAGATATTATACTTTAAGATCTTTTACTTTGTTCTTAATGTTATTTCTCACAATGAATTTATTATTATTAAACTTACAAACATGGCCGCCCTCGTCCTCATCGTCCTTCTACCTTTTCTATTTTAAATTAATTAAAATTTTGACGGTTTTTCCTTTCTAAATAATAAATTAATTAATTTTTTTTTCTTTCGAATCGTTCATAAAAATAATTAATTTTATTAAACGATTTTTAAAAAAAATAATAATAATAATAAAACAAATATTAAATTACAAATTTTTTTTTTTTTTTTTTGACAAATAAATCAAAACTACCTACATTGTTTTTTATGTTTTTTTTATTAATAATTATAAAACCTCATTGTGATAATAATAATAATCATTATTATTATGATAAATAAAGTTTAACGGTCGATAACGGGTAAAAAAAAAAAAAAAAAAAATTATTACTACCCCATCTTTCTCATCACAATATGGTGGTCTTCGTTACATTTTCTTTTCCTTTCTTTTCCTTTTTCCTTTTCTTTTCCTTTTTCTTTTCCTTTTCCTTTTCTTTTTCGGTTACAAAATTCACTTATATATAAAATTCTAAACACAAAAACAAGCACATCGACAACAAAACGTTTGAAAAAAAAAAAACTAGACATTAAACTAAGAGGAATTAATTAATTAATCTCTTAAAAATTTTTTTAATAAAAGATGAAATTAATAATAATAATAATAATAATAATGGTAGCCTGTTTTCTCTTCTTCTTCTTCTTCTTTTTAATAATAATAATAATAATAAAAATGTAAAATGTATTTTTAGTCGCAAGATAAAAAAAAAATGTAATAATAATATTGATGATATACCTCTTGGTATTTCTAAATTCTTATTATTAACTAATGTAAATAAAATAAAATGTGACGGTATATTAAATTCTAACATAACTCGTGTTTGGTTTCTAATTATTCATAAACTTTTTTTTTCTTCTAACTGTTAAGAAAAAATTTTCATTCCTTATTTTTTTCTTTTATTTCTTCCTTTTTACTCGACTTGCTCCTCGACCCTGATTTTTCGTCTTTCATGTTTTCGGATGGTAAAACGGGACCCTCGGGTTTTCTCGGAGGCGAATCCGTGGCTTCGCCCTCCGATAAGGGCTCATCCCTCTTTCTCGGCTCTAATTTTTCCTCCATTTCAATATACTTGTCGATTTTATCCTTGGCCGCTCCGACTTTTCTCATGGGATCGTTTCTGTCGTCGAAACTCCCGCTCCGACTCCTGTCCCGAGATCTTCTCCTCTCGTCGTCGTAGTACCGCCTCCTGTTGTCGTTGTAATGTTGAGGCCGATTGTTGTGAAAGTAACGACCGCGTCCTCGACCTTCGGAACGTTGGGCGTAACGATTTCGCCCTCTGTCGTACCGGTTATCGTATCGGTTGTCGTACCTGTTATTGTAGTACCCGCGACCGCGATTATTGTAATTGTCTCGCCCCCGCTGATTCCTGTACTGGTGGGAATTATTTTGAAATCTCGGCTTGTAATATGTACCGCGTTGGTGACGATTAAATCGCTGTATGTGTCGTCTGGGACTTCTGGACGATCTTCGCAACGATCTGGAACGGCTCCTGGAATATTTATCGTAAGATCTCGAATGCGACCTTGACGACCTGTACGAACGTGATCTCGAGTTGGAACCGTATTTGTTAAAAGACCGCGATCTCGACCGTCGTCCTCTACTAGAAGATATACTCAATTTCCTGCTTCCCGAAGACACCGAGGAACCCGCTCGCCTTTGCTTTTTCTTCCTACTTTCCGAATTCGAAGAACTCGTGCTCACCGATCTTTTCGATGCTGAAAAATCAAAAATTAAAAATTTTTTTGTAAAAATGACTTTCTCAACTTTCAACAAATTTTTTTTTTTTTCTTTTTTTTTTTTTTTTTTTTTTTTTTTTTCTAAAATTAAAAATGAATTTGAAAATAGATAATAATAATAATAATTTTAAATACGTTTAGCCACGGGTGGATCGATAACTTTGACTCTAAATGAAAATTTGTCAACCGCCGTTTTAATCGGTACTTCTAAAGGCGGAGGCGGAACGGGAGACAATTTCGGTTTTTCAATCGGTAGCGGAATTTTATCTTCCGGAAGAATTGGTAAATTTTTCTTACGGTCGTCCATGAGCTTTTTGCCATCGTCTTTGGGCAGGACCATCCTTTTATCATCCGTCTCGTCCCAGTTGGGTTTGTCTTCTCTGTCTTTTTTTACCTGATATTTTGAACCTCCACCGACAGTCAATTTAGTCTTGTTTTTAGGAGGAGATTCTTCAAAAATATCAATAGATTTTTTATTTTCTAAAAATTTCCAAAATTTAAAAAGTGAAATTGAATGCTTTGTTGCGAACGAAGCATTTTTTTTTTTTTTTTTTTTTTGTGTGTGTGTATTTACCTTCATCACTTTTTGGTCTATGCAATTTGGGTGACATTTTCCCTTTTTCAACAGAATTTCTCCTATCTTCCATGTGCTTTTCATCGTATCTAAACAAAATAAAAAAATTTATAGATAATAATTAAAAAAATTGAAAAAAAAAAAAAAATTATAAAATGTTTTTTATATCATCTTTCATTTACTTTTTAGTTCCTTCTTTTGATTTAAAATAAAAATCGCTCAATTTTAAAGGCATGTTTTCTTCGTGATTGGCAGTCATTTGTCTTTCGTACATATTTTCTTCTTCGTGAGTTGTTCTCCTACGCAAATCATGTTTCATTCCCAATTCTTTTCTTATGGCTTCGCGCAATCGCGCGGCATCTAATTCGTCATCGTCCTCTTCTCCCTCGTGATTTTTATCTTTCCTATTACGCTTCCTTCGTTTCTTCTCTTCTTTTTCCTCCCTTTTTCGCTTCTTATTTTTTTCCTTTTCCTTCTTCTCCCTTTTTTCTTTCTTTTTCTTTTTCTTTGACTTTTCGTCAGACTTTCGATCCATTTTAAACCGAGCCGCTTCGGCCAAAAATTTACGAACTCGTTCTTCGTAATCCGATTCACCTTTGGTTTGTTCGAGAAATGCTCGGACTCTCATTTCGTATTCCGCGTCCTTATCTAAAATCATTCCTGCAAATCATAAAACAAAACTGGTAGAAAACTATGTAAAATGAATTCGTGCAGTAATGAAAAAAATCTCGTTTGCTTACTTGGAAACGATGCCGGATTGCATTGGTTTCGCTGAGTCCCTAAATAATAAAAAAATTACATCGATATAATGGTTTGTAATTGAAAAAAAACGAAGCTGTCAGCTTATTTAAAAAAATTCACGGCTTTTATGCTTATACCAAACTATTTAAAATTCCAGAATCCGAAGGCAAAAATTAACTACAATAAATTTTGTTTGAATCATTACACACAAAATTGAATAAAATGATTTTTAAAAATATATAAGTTCTCCAAACAAACATTATTTTTTTTTTTTTTTTTTTTTTACGATTGTTAATTACTGAAGAAAATTTCATTTTTTTTCACAATCATATATATATATATATATTTAATTAGATTAAATATTTCTTGTATCTGTAATTTCAAAAATTTTTTTTGTTTAAAAAGTCTATTATTAATTAAAATTTGACAACTCTCACAGGGTTACATTAATAAATAAATAAATAAATGATGGAAAATGTGTTTATAAAAAATTTTAAAATACCATCAATTTCTGCACCGGAATCCATGAGTTGCATCCTTTTAGAAAGTGGCGACAACGATTTCTCTTTTCTTTCCTTCTTGTTTTTCTTTGATTTTTTCCTTCGGCGGGAATGAGAGGATTGAGACGATCCGCTACTGGATCCCGAGGAGGAACTAGAGTCCGAAGAGGAATCACTGGAACTCGAACTCGAACTGGAACTACTACCACTCGTGGAAGCTCGTCGCCTTTTTTTAGATTTTTTTTTCTTTTCTTTTCTATTTTTCCTATCTCTGTGCTCTTCGCTTTCACCCATGGTAACAAGGTTTTTAGACCTCAGAAAATCAATTGAATTTTGAGCCTCTTCGTGATACGGCAAAAGAACCAAACAATGCTGATAAGCTCGCATGGCATCTTCCATTTCATTTTTTTCTTCAAAACTACAAAAAAAAAAGGAATTTCGTATTTTTTTTTTTTTTAATCGAAAAATTAGGTTAATTTATAAAAGCAGCAAGAAATGAAAAAAAAAAAAAAAATTTACAAACCTTCTCCCTAAAGCAACGAGCGTTTCTCCCATGTATTTCCTTGCATTCTGATGATTCGGGTTAACTTTAAGTGCCATTTCAAAATCTTCGATGGCTTTTTGAAAGCTACCACTGTTAGCATACAAAGCTCCACGTGCGACTAATCCTTCCACGTTTCGAGGATCAACATTTAGTGCTTTGTTTAAACATTGAAAAGCTTCAGAATGTCGACCACCTTTGAAATGTTCAATTCCTTCGGCGACACTTTTAAATGCCCACTTAGCTGCCTGCATGGCTCGTAATTCCGTCGCGTACTCTTCTTCTGGAAATCTTTCACTAAATAAATATATATATATATATGTTAATTAATTTTAATTAAATTTTGAACTTTTAAAATCCAATATATATATATAAAATTTTTTCTTACCGTAAACCGGGAAGATTAGAAGAATATTCATTTCCGATGCCTAACAATGAACCCAAATATCCAACGTTTCCGGGATTATTGAATCCGACATTCTTGTGTAATAAATTATCGTAAGATTCAATACGAGCATCTTGTGTCATTTTTCTACAGAAACAGAAGTAAAACTTATATGAATAAAAAAAAAATTTTTCGTAAAAGTTTGCCTTCATCTTTAAATAAGACCAATTAAACAAAAAACTTTTTTTTTTTTTATAATGAAACCAAAATGAGTATAATGAGTATAATAATGCATTTTATATTCCATAAATCCAATATCCCGTTTCCGAAACGTTTGGGAAAAATAAAAATAAAAAAAATAAACGTTTTTCAGAGTGTTCCTTTTTTTTTTTTTTTTTTTTTTTGGTTCGTTTTCATTCCCACAATGTCATCATCATTTATGTCTGCAATTACGTACCTTCCCCAAAAATTTAAGTCGAAATCATTTTAACGTAGATGTAACGACAAAAAAAAGTAATCCTTGTGTCCTTAATCGAAGCGTCTTTTTAACCAACATTAAATACTGAATTTTATAATATAATAATATTAAAACCTTTTTTTCTTCTAAATAAAACGTTTAACTTGACATCCATTTAATAACTCCATTTAATAATTTCAAAATTTCTTTTTTATTGCAAGTGGAAGTTTTTGACAATTCAACCCATTCGGTATTATTATTATTATTATTATTATTATTATTATTGTTTCATCGATTTTATCATATAAAAATCCTGTATAGGAAGGTATGAAGGTATAAAAACATCTTCAACAACCACAAAAGTTTAAATAAAAATATTTATAAAACTAGCATCCCCTGATGAATGATATTGAGCATTCCTAAAATTTATTAAACCATAAGTTGTGAGTCAACAAAATTTTTTTTTTAGTCTTTTATTAATTAATAATTTTATGACGACCATCCGCATATTAAATAAATTTCTTCATATTTAATAATAGAGAAACGAAATAATTTAATTAACAGTATTATTAAGGGTTCTGTGACGTGTGATACTTACCATTCATTAGTGATCAGTCCTTGTTTTGTAATTTTTTAAACACTTGTAAAAAAAGGACCAAAAAGTAAAAAAAAAAAAAAAAAAAAAAAAAAAATTACTTTAATTGAATAATAATAATAATTATCAGTAGTTTCTCAAATGAAGTGTAAAATATTTTGTAATTTTGCCAATCGATTTTTGATGATTTTCTCAATATTATGGGAAAAAAAATAATCATTTACACCTCAGAGCCTATAAAATTTTTCGAAAAAAAAACTTTTGTTCCCAGAATTTTGAATTAATTATTTATATCGTTAAAATAATCTTCCTTAAAATCCACAAGTATTATTATTATTATTATTATTCATGTATTTCCTGATAAGTTTAGTAATTTTTTTTTGTCTGGCGGTGTGTGTGTATCGTACTTTTCTATTGTTTTTTCATGTAGGAATCATAATTTTAGTTCTTAAATCAATCATCTCTCAAATATTATAGATCAAAATTTGAGTTTAAAAAATCCTCATTTTCTTCCTCCCTTGAGTTTGTTTGTTTGTTTTTTTTTTTTTTTTCTCTCTCTAATTTATTGAAAATGATTCAACATAAACTTTTTTTTTTTTTTTTTTTGGAGATCAGTCAGTTCGAGCACAGTTGCACATTAAGTTGGCTTTCTAAAAGAGAATTATAATGGCTCATCATACAAAATGTAGATTCATAGGTTTTAAAGCTTTACAAACTCCAAAAATGACATCTTGGCATTATCATTCCTCTCTTGTTAGTAGTAATTATTACAAACTAAAATTATATGTATTAGCACGACAATGTCACAAAATAAATTATATACCTAATAGTAGTCTAAACCACTTTTTTTAAATAAATAATTTAAATTCTGAAATATCAATTATTTTTTTATCCTAATACTAAAAAAAAACAAAAAAAAAAAAAAATTACTAACTTTAACTTTACTTATAAAATATAAGCAAGACATGAAATTTGGCAGTAATTTTTAAGCTTTTAAGAAAAATTTAAATTGAATTAAAATTTTTTTTTTTTTTAAACTATGTAGCATGAATTTACAATGACTAGAAAATTTTAAAAAATTATTAAAGAAAGAAATAATGTGTCAGTCTTACCTATGAAAAAGAATTTGATCTAAAATTTTATAGCCTACCGTAAAAAAAAAAAGAAATCTAATAGTATTGAGTAACAATTTGTGCAAATTCATGCTTAAAAAATTAACATTAATTATACTGACTTGTAAATGCTAGGTACTGGATCTGTGTAAAGCGTTGCTTCACCGATAACCAATTTGTCAGCTTCGGGTACAATTTCCAAAACTGTTACCCTTACAAAATCTCCCATTAAAAGCGGTTGAGGAGTGTTTACATTTGAAATAGGAAGAACTGCTTTAATTCCTAAATCAGCGACAACATGCGGTCTTTCTCCCTCAACGAGTAAAATTTTAACTCCAATTATCGACTGTTTATTCGAAACAACGCATAACAATGTGTCGCCAACTTTTGTCGTCTATATAATATAAAAAAATAAAAAATTATAAATATTTTCTAATAAAACCTTATTAATATTACTTTTATTAATGGATAGTTTAAAATTCTTTACCTCAAAAAATCTTTTTATTTTACTCTCCTTATCAGCATTACAAAATGTTTCAAATGGTGGAACTGCAGCATAAAATGATTCGTCAACAGTAATTTTAGATCGATTTTCAGGAGGTTGAGCAGTGAAAGATTCATCAAACAAAACAGTAGCATTTTTAACAATAAATTCTTGAAGTTTTAATCTTTTACCTCTGTCTTGAAAACTAAAATTATATAAATAAATGATTATTAAATTTTGAAATCGAATACTGTAAGCTTAATCTGATAAAGTAAAAGCTTTGAAATAAATGTAAAATAATAATTACTTCAGGTGTTTTTGTCTGGCATTAAAATCATGATAATTAATTTTTTGAGGGCTGGTTTTTAGTAAAATTTCATTAAGCCTATGATTGCCCTCACAAAGCTTATGAAGTTGCTGTCCATGAAAATTAATGCTCTGAATTAAAACATCTTTATCTACGCTGTTGCCATTCATTTTTTACAGAACCTTTCCTGAATTAAAAAACAAAATTAATTTTTACAAAACATCTTACTTATACACATTCAATTTCACAATGAAAGTTTTTCAAAAACGTTGATTCTTTAGAAACCTGAAACATTTTTTAAAAAGTTTAGCTATGTATATATGAAATTTATTTTTAAATTAAATATTTGTCAAATTCAAACCTTTTCATATGTGTTAGTATAACAAATATATAAAAATAAAAAAATAAAATTTCTACATAATTTTAAACAGGCAAAAAATTATTTCCTCAAAGGGTAAAAACTAATTGCGGCTACCAGTAAATTATAAATGAGGCCGCATTGCTATGCGAATTAAAATGTAATTATACAACAATTAAAAAATTATGAGTATTATTATTTATTTATAATAAACTTACTTGGCATTTCAAATCAATTTTAAGATTATCGCTTACAACTACCCGCTAAATTACGTAATACTACAAGTACAATATTTCAGGCTACAATTTAGCTTCACTTTTTAAATGAAAATGGCGATCGATCGATAAAAATGGCGGATTTATGTCATAGAATACATAAAATTAATAATTTAAATTTCTCACATATCTAACCATTGGTTAAAATCTCCCTTTGTAATTTCCTTACATATTAAAAAAAAAAAAAAAAAAAAACAAACAGATTCTCATAAAATAAATGACATATTATTATTATTATTTCTTTAAATATTTATGTTTTAAATAATATTATCAAGTTTAGGTTATTTTATCAAGTTAAAACATGTCATTCAGTTCGTAATAAAAAATCTTAACAAACTTTATTTAAAAATTAATTTTTTTTTTTTATTAAAAAGTTTTACCTACTTTAAATAAAATTCGAAAATTTGAAATATGTATATTACAATAACAAAAGACAATATTATGAATAAAATTTAAATGATTTATGTAACTATATAAAATAATAATAAAAAAATGTCTTGTAATTTATCATCAAAAGAACGTTTACCTATTTGCGATTGTTTAAAATATAAAGAGGAAAGTTACAAAAAAAAATTTCAAACACCTGGTTAGTTAAAAATTTAAAAAAATTGATGGTTTATTTGTGTAACTGCACAGTAAAATTTCCTAAAAAAAAAAAAAAAAAAATTTATCATTTTTTTATTTTTTCTTTTTAATCTTAATTCAAATTTTGTTTTTATATTCAAATCGATAAAATGTGTACTAAAAGTAAAAGTGTGAAATACCCTAGGATAAATTCACTTTTAAAAGATTATTCAAATGTTGTGTATAATAATTTACTGGGAAATTGTATGTCGAATAAAAATTTAGTCATTTTAGAAAATTATAATATAGTTCTTAGAAGAGATTACAAATCGATGAGGGGAAAAGTAAGAATCATAGGAGGTGGTGGATCAGGGATTGAACCATCCGAAGTTGATTATATTGGAAAAGGAATGTTAACTGCAGCAGTCATGGGTGAAATGTATTCATCTCCTTCTGCGGAAGAAATTTTCATAGCTATTAAAGAAGTTGCTCTAAATAGCTCTGATGGTGTTTTATTACTTGTTAAAAATTATGTCGGAGATAAATTAAATTTTGGTTTAGCTTTAGATAAAGCTATCAGTGAAGAAATTAAAATAAGAATGCTCATTATCGGTGATGATGCTTTCGAACCAGATTCTAAAAAACATGGAAGGAGAGCTTTGGCAGGGAGTATTTTAATATATAAAATAGCTGGTGAAATGGCTGAATCAGATAAATCATTGGAGGAAATAGTAGATGAATGTAGAAACATTATTTTAACAGATTTAGTTACAATGAGTGTTAATTTACCAGCTTGTGGTAAAACCTTTTGCGAATCGCTGGGACCTTACATCGAACCTGACGAGATGGTCTTAGGTATGGGACTTTATGGGCAACATGGAAAAAAAAAAATGAAATTTAGTAATATTGGTAATACTGTGTCTATAGTATTGCTTGAACTTTTAAATAATTCCATGGCAAAAATGGGTGCTCCTTTTAAAAATGCTGTTGTTTTAATTAATAATTATGGGTCAACCTCAAAACTAATCGAAAACATTATAGCTTATGAATTGACAAAAGAATTAAATAAAAAAAATATAAATATATTACTTTTGTATTGTGGTAAACTTTTTTCAAATCGAAATAGTAATGGATTTTCAGTTACATTATTAAAAGTTGAATCACCCAAAACTGTAAAATACTTAGAGGCTCCTACAACAGCATCTGCGTGGCCTAAGCCAAGGGGTTTAAATTTAGATAAAAAAGACGCGGAATATAAAGATTTACCTCTCGTGATTAAGGCCGAACGCAATTATGATTCTTCACACGATGGTAAATTTGAAAATGCACATCCTGGCCCGAAAATCGACGAAAAAGAAAGTTTGGCTCTTAAGCAATGCATTGAATTTGCAGCCGAGGCGTTGATTTCTTGCGAAGATCAGTTAAATGTAATCGATTCAGAATCGGGGGATGGTGACACGGGAACGCAATTAAAATTAGGCGCCACAGCAATAAAACAAGCAATTTATGATAAAAAATTGGATTTTACCTGGCCTTACAAACTTTTTTCGGATATCAGTCAATTGTGTTCCGCTTCCATGGGCGGCATTTCCGGAGCCCTCTACCACATATTTTTTAACTCTCTTGCAAAAAGTATACAAAATTCAAATGAAATCACTCCCGAACTTTGCTCGCGCGCTTTTAAATGTGCAACTAAAACGATTAAACATTACGGAAAAGTTGATATTGGAGATAGAACATTTTTCGACGTTCTTTCTCCGGCAGCTGATTCTTTCGAAGCCGTCATAGCAAACGGTTTAGACGTGACGAGTGCGTTATTCAAAGCGGCGGTGACGTGCGAATATAAATCGGAAGAATTAAAACTCGTCATACCGAAATCTTTGAAAAATTTAAACGTTGAAAAACCGTTACTTTATTCCGATGCTGGCGCTCACGCGGTCACTATTTGGCTCAGAGCTTTGAGTGAAGGTTTACGATTATTACATCCGTGCAAATATTAACGAAAATTAACATGTTTTTTTTTTTTTACGATCAGCTTTTGCCAACGACATACCTACAAAAAAACCAGGTATATTCCTTTGGAAATTCCTAACCGAAGAAGAATGTTACAAATTATTGGATGACGTAGAAGACGACAACGTTCATTTTTCCTCTTTCATCGGTAAGAATCTTACCTTTATTTTTAAATAAAAAGAAGTTACCGTTACAACTTATAAATCCAACGTTTTTTTTTTTTTTTAGAAGACAAAATGGGATCTGCTCCTTCTCTTGAAAAAATTTTATTGACTGAAACATTCAAATATTGCAGGTGTGAAACGCTTCAAATAATAAATAAAAATTTTTTTTTAAAACCAATCAATCAAAAAAAAATTATTTTCACATATTTAACTTACTTAAAAAAAACAAAAAAAAAAAAAAAAATTTAATTTTTCACGTGGAACAGCCATGAATTTGACAAAGAACCCAAACGAACATCTGCTTTAATCGGAACCGTTTATTACACTCACGTGTATTTTACGTCATCAATGTGGAGAAATCCATCGGAAGTTTATTATTATTTTAAAGAATCTATTATAAATCAATCGTTCGAGGTATAATCGAATTATTTTTCTTCCCTTTTCATTCCCTTTTTAAAATTTCCTTTTCGAAATAATTTATTATAAATTAATTTTATAGTGTCCTCCTACGAGCATGAAAATATTTGAACCAAACGAAGCCAAGAAAATTTTAATTTTTTTCATTGAATTATACATAAGAAATTTACCATTGGTTAGATTATCATTTTTACCTCATTACAAACTTCGTTTAAAATTAAATGAAAAAGTCAACGACGGCGAATAAATAGAAATTTTTATTATTATTATTATTATTATTATTATTAAATAGAAATGTGTGTCGTGAATGTGTATATACATGTATGTGAATATATCCCTTAATCGACGCGTTTGTTATAATGTACAAAATAATAATAATAATAGCCACCAAGTAGCATATATATTATTGAGATATGAAAAACGATGAAGTCGTTATTTTTTTTTTTTTTTTTTTTTTTTTGTTACCTGCATGGAGAACTTTCCGTTAATCCGCTACTTTTTTTCCTTAAATTAATACACTGAGAACTTCCTCTTTTAATTCCTTGATTGCTGCAATTGCACAAGTGACGTTCCATATTCGTGGGAGATTCTTGTAAGCTCTTAAATAATTAAATAAAGTTATTATCGAATGATTATTTTTTAAAAGGTTTACGGTGTACGAATTAAAGTAACCATACCTGAAATCCAGATTCTGCCAAGTATTCGGACGAACTTGTATCCCTTTCGACGGTAGCACAACCCCATGGTAATGGAGCATGCGATCGGGGTTCTGCAACATCCGCGACATCATTTTTAAATCCTTTGAGTTGACATATTAAAAAATCATTCATTTGCGTCACAGCATTCAATTCTTCTTCTAATTCGCTGCATGCGAATAACAAATAAAACAACGCCATAACCTTTTACTTAACCTTAACGAAAAAGGTTTTAAAAAATTACCTATTTTCTGCTTCGAGCATGCTTTCTTGTTCGTTTGAACAATCCAATCGTGATTTAAGGGCTTCGTTGGCATAACGTTGAGCTCCTAAATATTTTTTCGTATGAAGTATCACTCTGAGTGCTTCATTTCTCATTCTTTGACAACTTGCATTCGAATCGTTAAGTTCAACCATTAAATTATCGATGCAACAATTTTTTTCCGATATTTCTTGCTGGAGTTCGGGAATTACTTTATTCTCAAGAGTTTTTAACTGTTAAAATACAAAAAAATTTACAAATTGTGTACAACTAATAAATTGTGATTGCCATTTAATTATCCACCTTTATAGACATGTCTTTTATTTTATTAAATAATGAATTTTTATCGGTGTCCACGCCGTTCAACGCATCCTTTTTACTCAACACCGTAAATTTATTTTTCAATATAACGTTTTGCGCTCTCAATTCGCATAATTCTTTTTCCATCGAGATTTTTAAATCTTGCAATTCGCAATTTTCATTATTGAGATCCCGATATAAATTTTCAAGATTTGCTTTTTTCTTGTCGAGATTTTTAAATTGTTCCAACAACGCCTGATATTTTTTATCGAGAGCATCGTAATTTTCTTTTGCACAACGAAGTTCGCTTTGTAAATTTTGTATCTGTAATATTCTTTCAATTATTAACCGTAAAATAATCAAAACTTAAAATCACGTAAATAATATTTTACCTCCGAATTTAAACTTGAAATTAATTTTTCCGTTTTATTTTTCATATAACTTTCATTTGCACTATTCTAAAACAGAAAAAAAAAATTTAATCGATTTTAATCGTATATAAATTTTTTAAAATAAAATTCGATAAATTTTGTTTCTTACATTTATTTTAAGACGAGAACATTCGTCTGCTAATTCTTTATTTATTTCATCTTTATTAACATTTTCATAACAAATTTGTTCCAATTGATTTTGAAGTTTATCAACCGAACTCAACAATTCATTTTTTTCCGATAGCGTAGAACGTAATTTGGCACATAATTCTTTTTGTTTTTCCTTAAACGTATTTTCAACGGAAAATGATTTTTCCATGATGGATTCAAAATCGCAACGTAATTTTTTATTTTCTTCGCTTAATTCTTCATTTTTCGTTTTTAATTCTTCTAAATCTTTTTCTAAACACATGACCTATAAAAAAAAAAAAAAAACGTTTTTTATTTGAACTTTGACCTCTTTATAAATTGCAAACTTTTCCTTTTTTTTCAACTTACTTCATATTTTAAACGTGATATTAAACAGTCTTTATTTGCTTGCGATGCAAAATATTCACTTTTAAGAGATTCCAATTCGATCTAAAAGAAATCATCATATTTAATCGTTAAAAAAAAACAAAATGGCGGTGATTTGGTTAAAAACAGGTGTTAAATAACTTACTCCGGAAATTAAAAGTCTTGTGAAAAGTTTCGTATTTTCAATATCGTTCAAATCATTTTCTTTTTTTTTACACGTGCATTGACACGGTGAATTTTCATTCATATTTTCTTTACTTTTATACGAAATATTACTTTTACTCCCTATATTTATTTTCGTTAATGTCTGTTCTAATTTCGATTGCGTGCAATTGTAATTTTTAACCATTTCGTCAAACTAAAAAATTTATTTTTTTACAAAAAAAATCATTAAACTCGTGTTGCAAAAAAAGGGTTTTTTATTAATGATAATAAAACAATAAATAACCTCTTCTAATTTACTCTCCAACATTAAATTTAAATCGTCAACTCTCGATTCCAACATTTTTTTCATTTTGATTTCTCTATTTAATTCCGCTTTAAGATTACAACATCTCGATTTAATGTCGGCTTTTTGCATTTTCAACTGACAAATAAATTCTTCGAATTCGGAAACGTTTACGTTACCGTTATTTTGCACGGAATCCAATAAATTATTTCTCATGTTCAATTCATTTTTTAATTCTTCATTTTCAACTTTTAAACTTTTGTTATCTTCTTCGTACTTGTCCACGCACTGTTTCAATAATTTTTCGTTTAAAACCCTCTGCCTAATAGTTTCGTTTAATTGCGTTATGGTTGCTTTGTTTTTGACATTTTCATTTTTTTCATCGCATAATTTTTCCATTAAAATTTTTTGCTCTTCTTCCCGTGCCGACGCTGTCGTTTTCAACATATTTTCCAAATCGCAAATTTTCTCATTGTATATTTGTTTTTGACATTCTGATTTTCTTATCGTATCTTCCAACATGTTGATTTGTGCCACGTATTGATCGTTTAACGAATTATTATTTAATTCTCCTCGAAGTTGTTTTATCTCTTCGTTAAGTTGAAATATTTTTTCCTCAAATTCGCATTCCGTTTTTTCACTCTGAAATTAAATAATAATAATAATAATAATAATTTTTTAACACGCAAAACTATCGCGAATCAACGCGATGTGAAAATATATATTTAAATAATTACCATTTCTTTTTCTTGTAATAATTTATTATTTGCATCGGTTATGGCCATATTTAAATTTTTTTTCGCACAGCAAAGTTCGTTTTGATAATTTTTTATTATATTATTTAATTCTTTGATTCTCGACGAATCTTCCATAGCACGACATTCAAATTTTTTATATTCGCAATCTAATTCTTCTTCCAATTGTTTTATCTAAAAAAAATATTCATTTAAATATATATATATAATTTATTTAATTAACAACCGACATTTTTTATTTTTATAAAAATATAATATTCTAACCCTTTCGCAAAGTTCTTCGATTTCACGTTCTCGACATTCTAATTCCTGTTGTAAATCGTTAACCATTTTCTAAAAGAAGAAGAAGAAAAAAAAATCAAAATTAAATTAAATTAAAATTTTATAAAAAATTATCTTTTTTTTTTTTTTTTTTTTAATAAAATTAATATTTTGTACCTTAATAAATTATTTATAATTAAATTATCGTTTAAAAAAAAAAAATAAAATTCAATAAAAAAAAATTTTTTTACATATAATTCAAATTTTTTTTTTTTTTTTTGAAAAGATTAATTTAAAAATTATTATTATTATTATTAATTATTTTAATAACTAAACTACCTCAAACATATTACTAGTTTTATACATAGATTTTAATCTAGGTTCTAATATATTTATTTCGCGGCTTAATGTAAAATTTTTACAAGTTAATATAATTAATTTATTATGTAAACTATCCAACATTTTTTCTTTCGTTATTACCTAAAATTCAAAAAAAAAAAAAATTAATTAATAATAACTAATTAATAAATAAATACATAGAATATTATTTACGTTATTAACTTACGTCTTTTTCTGATTTTTTTAATTTATTATCCAATTCGCAAATTTTAAATTGCAATGATTCGATTTGTACCGTCCAAACGTTTACCTGAAATAGTTAAAAAAAATTTTATTAAAAAAAAATTATTCGCATAAATTAATTTAAAAAAAAAAAATTAATAAAAAATTATGTACATAAATAATACGTGATAACGTACCTTGATTATTAAATATATACGAGCGTCAAATAAATAAAATTCAACAAAAATTTCACGCGCACACACACACAAAAAGTTGCAAAAAAACATTTTTTTTAATAAAAAAAAAAAAAAATTTTATTAAATAAATATAATAATAATAATAATTAATATTAATTAAATTAAATAATTTTAAAAAAAATAAATAAATAAATAAATACAAATGTGTATACAAACCATTAAAACTACTTTTGTGAAAAGCCAAAATAAAAAAATAAATTAATTAATTAATTGCATAACAATATTATTAAATTAAATATTATTAAATTAAATATTATTAAAATAAATTTTTAAAAAAATAAATAGTAGAAAATTTTATACGCATACATATAAATATTAAATTATTATTATTATTATATTTTTTTTCTTAATATCATTAGTAATCAAATTATTATTATTATTATTTTTATAATCGCTATGATAAGTACGTGCCGGGTTTTCTTTTTCTTTTTTTAAATTAATTAATAAAAGAAGATGTGATGATGATAATAATACTTTACGGTTTTTCCGTATCAGGCTAATAATGTATTTGTAAATTAAACCGACCTGATTTTTGTTTTAAAATTTAAATTTAAATTTAAATTTAAATTTAATAATAAATTGATGACCGGGCACATATCATATATCATGCACATGCCTCGATCCTTTCGACCACGAACATATCCATCGACTAGAAGAACGAGGAGGACTTACTTCATATTGTTTGCATTTTTTAACAATTTCTTGTAGATTGCTAATGAGACGACATTTTTCTTCAACATCTTGAGATAATTTAGATGCTTGACTTTCCTAATAATAATATTATTAATTCGATTTAAATTTTTTTATATAAAATGGAAAAAAACATAAAGACTTTAAAATAATAACAATAATGATAATTTTTTTCGTGTTTAACTCACTGATAATTCCATTTTAGATTTAAATTCTTCCAATTGACATTCTCTAAATTTGACTGTGTTTTGCAACGCTCTCAAAGTTTCATCCTTATTATATACCTGGAAAATTTCAGGTTTGTTATCAACATTAAATAAATAATTTTTTATTACTTTTTTTGTTTTATTGGCAATTGCGTACACATTTTTCCAAATGACCAATTTTTTCCTCGAGTTTTTCATTGTCTTCTTTGATGGTTAATGAATGAGCCATCATATCTTGAGTTTTTTCAACGGTACCGCTGAATTTTTGCAAAGTGATAAAAAATATTTTGAGAGGGGATAAATTTTTTTGCAAACAATAATTATCCTCATTGTCGGAAGTAAATGGATATGATGTCGATTGAACATCCCGCAACTGCTGTGTCATCCCTTTCATCAAATCTATCGATCTACATATTTCCACCATTCTGCAATCTATTTCTCTATTTTCGCAACCTATTTGAGCACGTTTTTGTGCCAATTCATCTTCCAGCTACAATTATTCAGTGGAAAAAAAAAAAAAAAAAATTAAAATTAAAAAATCAAATTTGTGAAAATTCAAATCTCTCATTACTTACTTCCATCGATATTTGTTGTAATTTTTTTATTTTATTTTCTTGATTACAAATTTCTTCTTCCATAATTCTTTGATCGTATTTATATCTCAACATTTCATTTTGCATGCTGTCGTCTTCGGTTTCGACAATTTCATCCCCGCTGGAATAAGCTCCTACATTTTTAGGGTTGCAAGGTTTACATAGCGAATGTTTTAACTTTTCCAAACAGCAACATAATTCATCGGTTATACTATCGAATTCGTTGCGAAGACATTCAAATTTTTCTTCGATGTTATTCAAAGCATTTTTATTCGAATCGTTTAAAAACTAAAATTATCATCGTTATTTATTATGATGCCGTAATTATTTAGGAAAAAAGTTTTCCTTATACAAACTTGCCTGAGGAATATATTTTTGAATAAGTTGCGCAGAAATTTCCAATTGTTCTTTCATTTCTTCCAGGACAGCAACCCCCGTAACAGCTCTTTCTTTTATAACTTCTATGTCGTTCAAATCGCATTTACAAGAAACACTTTCTTTAGATGGTACATTCAATTTTTCATAATTATTATAGTTTTTATTATTCTGTAATAAAGAGTAACAATTATGCATTTTGCATAAGAGACCACAACAACAAAATGGATATTATGCATACCATTAAACTTATTAAATTTTTTTTTAATGTACATATTTTTCCCAATTCTTTTTGAATGATATTTTTACAATTTGAAAGTCCACATTTATGTGTATCAAATAATGATCTTAAATTTTCTTCAACTCGATTTACGGCATCGTACAAAACTTCATATCCATGTTGTTGCATTCCACCATCAGAAATCTAAATGAAATTATTAATAGAAAATAAATGAGTATAAAACCTTTTATTAACAAATTTATGAAGAACGTGTTTTTTTTTTTTCTGTCTAAAAATACATTTAAAAATATTAAAGAAGGGAAAAAAATGAATGAAAAAATTTTATAAATAATTTCTTTACAAAAACGAGAGGATTTTAAAATTTTTTTTTTTTGGTATATTTTAATATTACACATTTATTTTTTAATTTATTACGTTTTTTTTTAAAACTTGCTTTTTAATTTATTACCGGAGCAATAAAAAAAAAAAAAAAAAATTGTTACATGGTTTTGAATGAAATTTCATTTAAAAATAGAAAAATGGCCTGATGAGTGCATTTTTGTCATAACTGAACCATAGATTTTTTTTTTTAAGCTACTTAACACAAACAAACAAAACAAACAAAATGAAAAAAAATATTTTTTTTAATCATGGGTTTTTTCCCCGATTTTTTGGGAAACATTACTAATTCAAATGATGAGAATTTGTTAAGAATTATTATTGAGAATTTATATTTTGTTTAATAAAATTTAAAACGAATGGATTATTATCGTTGTTAAGATACAAGATGGCCAAAACATGTTTGTTTGTAAGACAAACTTATAAAATTATAATTATTATTAACCGTGTTAAACATATTTGAAACTCATATTAAAATATGATTTTTATTAAAAGTATTATTAGTTTAATTAATTAAGGTTAGTTTAATAGTAAAATAATCAAAGGGATTATTATATACGTTAAAAACTAATGTTAATATAAACAGTTATATATAAATTAGCACTCAACCCACAGTTAGAGAAGAATCATTGCTACGAACATCATCTTGATTTTCGAGAATTTTTTTTTTTTTTTTTTTTTTTTCTTGTAAAGAAGCCAAATCCATTTTCGTTTTATGCAATTCTTCTTCTAAATGCCTTGTTAATTCTTGTTGTTTGATTAAATCCTTCATTCTCACATCTAAGGACGTTTTAAATGATTCAAATTCCGTTCGAAGTTTACTCGTGTCACCAATGCTGTCGTTTCCATTTTTATCCTTTTTAATTGTCGGTAAAAAAGTAGCAGAAAAAAATCCAGAATCAGGACCGTCGAAATTCGATTGATAATAATTATTCATTTTACACGAGTACGAATTAATCACGAGTAAATCATTTTTTATATTTTTTTTCCTTCTCAATTCCTCTACTACATCGCTAAACGTTAAACGCGCCTAAAAAAAAAACAAAAAAAATTTTAATTATTTAAAATAAAACTTATACGAAAACATTACAACATTTCTTTACACAAACATTTCATTTTTTACGTCTAATCAACAAAAAAATTAAAAAAATTTGTGAAATTTCTTATTTAAATCTCACTTAAAATTTTTTTTAAAAAAAAATTACCTGCAAGAATCAAATTCAAATTAAAAAACAAAAAAAAAAACAAAAAAAAAAAATTCGTTCAATTAATTAAACGCAGACTGTGAAAACAATTCAGAGTTTAAAATGCTCCCTGCAACAGTTGACAACACAAATTCTCACACATTTGAAACGAAACTTGGAGAATTCTATTTTTAAACTTTTTCTTTCGGAATTAAAAACTCTTCACGATGAACAAACAAACAAACAAACAAACAAACAAAAAATCTCCTTCTCCTCTTTTTTTTTTTTTCAAATTCAAATTCATTATTTTCCATATAGAAAAAAAAAAAAAAAACAAAAAAATTAATTTATTGAATAAAAACTGCCCTTTGGTAAATTAATCTCGATTTCCTTTAATTAATTATAAATTTCCCCCCTCTCCCCCTCGGGGGAGAGGGGGGATTAATACATTCATCTAAATAAATAATATTTATGTATATTATTGTTTATAAAAAAAAAAAATTTTAACTGATATTCAAATTATAATTAGTAGGATAAACTTATACTATTCAAAAATAAAGTAAATAAATGTATATGAATTATAAAATTCCCGCCCCCTCCCTCTCCCCCTCCCCCTTCCCCGCCCTACAAACTTAAACTAAGTTTATCTTAAATTAAATATTACTAAAAGGAAGAGTGTAAACTCCTTTGAGATTTTTTTTCTTTTCTTTTCCACGAATATCCGATTCTTTTTTATTTTCTTTTACGACCGCGTCTGAAGTTGCACCACTCCAAGGTGTCACGGTTAGGGTACCGAAAGACCGTGGTAATTTTTGTAAGGGAGGCGTTCGATGTTGAGTGGAAACGTTTCTCATTTTCAAAGAAGAATTCGGAGACTCCGTTTGTATTTCGACCGAACACCGATTTGGATTCGATTCTTTTAGGCCCAAGTTATTTTTTTCCTTGTCGGATATCATAGAAAATATATGTATGTCTAACTTCAATTCATCATCGACAATTTTATTTTCACTATTAGGGGCATTTAATGATTTTAAATTTACCAATTGCGTGGGAGGTGAATGTTCGCGAGATGAAATTTTCGACGTATTGTCTGCGTTTGACATCTGAATGAATGAATTTTTGGAAAAAAAATAAAAATTTTTAAGGTAAAACTTTTTTTTTTTTAGGAAACATCCTGTTAATCTTTTTCGATCGATTCCTTACCGACTTTCTAGAACTTTTCACTTCTTTTCTCAGCTCTTTTATGATGTCGTCTTTGAAATGCGTTTGCTTGTCGGCTTGTCGCAATTGTTCTTCCAAAACTTCTTTGCATTTTTTCAACTCTAGTATCTGATCGTGTTTTTCGGCAACCTCCGAAGTCAATGCCCATCGCGTTTCTTTAAAACTGTGATTGAGGTCTTGTATATTTTCGTGCAAACAATTTATTTTCAACAATAAATCATTTTTTTCGGATTTCAATAACTCGATCGTTTTTAACAATTCTTCGGTTTCGACGTTTCTAAATTTTTTCTGAGCCATTTCTTTCATCAACCTTTCGTTTTCGAGTGTCGCGCATTGTAATTTACTACTCAATTCGTTTCTTTCGATGATTAATTTTTTCCTTTCCGACGTCATTATTTGAAGTTGACATTCATTCTCGCGAAGTTGTTGCGTGAAAGAAGTTTTTTGTTTTTCAAAACCCATTAATAAATTTTGAAGTGATTCTTTCAACATCTAAAAACATAAAAACAACGTCTTAACATCATGCAATTCGTCATGCAAAAAAATTCGTCATTTTGATTAAAAAAAAAAAAAAAAAAAAACTTACTTTACAGGACCTTCTCCTCTTCTATGAATAAAACACAAAATATTTAATATTTTTTTTTTTTTTTTTTTTAACACTAAAAATCAAAGTAGTTGAGGAAAAAACCCATAAAGTAAATTTTGTATGTAATTTATAAATATTTTTGCGTAACCGATTTAAAATAAGTTAATTTCGATTTATAATTAAATTTCATTCTTTTTAAAAACTAAGAGCGGTAAGACTTTACCGATATATAAAAAATTACATTTTATATTTAATAATTAATTGTTATGTTATTAAAATTAGTCAATTTTCAAATTTGACAACTTACAGCAGCAGCAGCAGCATCATCATTAACGGTCATTTTATCTTGTTCTCCACAATAAATTTGTTCATTCGTTTTTTTCGCTGCACTTTTTAACTGTTGTAAAAAATCTTTACATTGTTTATTTTTTATATTTAATTCATTTTTGAGATCTTGAATTTCACAACAATTCAATCGTATAACTTCATCTTTTTCCGATAGCAATTTATTAAGTTCTTGCATTTCTCTACAAAAAAAAAATTTCAATTAATTGTTAATTTTTAAAAAAAGATTTTTTTTTTAAAAAAAAAAAAAAAAAAGTAAAAATGTGTAGTAATACAAACCTTTCTTTTGCTTTTAGAGAACAATGCAATTCCTACGAATAAAAAAAAAAAAAATAAATAAATAAGTTTTTATTATAATACCTGCGGAAATACGTAATATAAATTAAACGAAAACAAATTATTAAAATTTGATTCGTGAAAAATTGTCGGTTTAAACAAAAAAAATAATTAAAATTATCCCAATTTATTTGGGAAACATTATTTGGGAAACATTAATTTAGTACCGTTATTTTTATGTTTAGTTAATTTATTAAATTTAGATCAATTTTTTTAACGTTAATTTGAGTTTCAATTTTTGCATTTAAAACAATTAGAACCTACTCATCGACATTATAATAATTTCTCAAATTTTTAAAATTATCTAAAAATTAATTATTTAAAAATAATAAATAAATATTTGAATGACGCATTGATAAATAAATAATTTAAATGTATTAAAAAAATACAAATATGATAATAATTTTGGTACAATAATAATTTATTTTCCGTAGCATATTTTAGGAATTTGCCAGAATTTCAAAAATTTTTTAAATTTACTTCAGGATTTCTCGAAAAATTTAAATTAATACTGAGATGTTTTAAACGATCTAATGCATCATTATCTTTACAATTGCATTTGTTGGGCATTTTCGAAATCGGTTCGATTTTATTCGAATCGTAATTAAATCGTTCGATTTGATGATGAAAATTATCCGTATTGTAAACGTTATTATTTTGTATTAAATGCTCTTCCGAACAAAATGTCTGACAATTTATTTCGTTATTTTCGAACGATCTAGGAGGACAAACACAGGTATCATTTGAAGAACTACTAAGATCGCTATAATCATTTTTTAATTGACTGCATTTAAAAGGGGTATTGTTTGCCCTGTAAATTTTTTTTTCATCTTGATCAGGAAAAAGACAACTGGAACAAACAATGAAATTAATACCAAATTGATATTTAACATAATTAAGTTATTGATAAATACAGTGCAAAAGTTTTTTTTTTTAATTAATGAACTATCAATGATGATATTTTAAATAATGTGAAAAACAGCAAAAACACCTGTCTTCACATTCTCCACAAATGCAACCAGGGCACAAAGTAAAAAATGATAGTCCAGAATAATCACAAACACCTTCATCTTTAAGTCTTCGAATAACTTTAATTAAACACCTAATATCATTTTTATGTTCTTCTATCTGAAATAGAGATATTTTAATTTTTTTTACCTATTCTTAGGTTTTACAATAAATATTTTGATAAAAACTACTCTAAGCTATATATAATTATTGTAAAAAAAAAAAAAAAAAAAATGAAAACAATTATTATTTTATTTTGAAAAAGTAAGCTAAATTAAATAAAATATAATAATTAACTTACCAATTGAAATTTATTAACAAGACACACAGAAAGCACAATTATGACTTAAAATTTAACTTTTTAGAATTTATTTAACTCATCGAAACATTTTGCAATTTTAAAAGCAGATTGTACAATTAAATAATAAAACATAGATTATTAAAAGCATTGATTGTACTTGAACTAAAGAGATTTATTTTTTAAATAGTTTTTTTTAATGAAATCTGACATTGGAAACACAATGTCATCTTCGGTTAAAATTATTATTGAATAAAATTATTTCTTAAAACTATTATTCGTTAGCATACCTTTTGACATGATCTATCCAATTTGTTCTGCAAATTTTTTACTTGGCAGGTAGCCTCCTGTTCTAATTCTTCGACAGCTTCAACAAGCATGTTATTTTGTTGCCATAAATCATCAACAATTTTTTTGAATGGAGCTAACCTTTTCTAAAAAGGAAAAATTAAAGAAAATATTGTTGTTATAATTAAATATTAAAGTAAAACATGACATTAATTATTAATACCTTGAAAAAACTTAATTTGAAACTAGATACACAGAAAGAAAAAAAAATTGAAAAAAAGTAAATGCTTATATAGATATGAACAATATAAATATTCTCACTTATTATTAATAATTTTTTTTTTTTGAAAAAGTTGTACTTTTAAAAAAATTATTTACTGACACATATAATAAAAATTAACATATGCTTTCTCATACCAGGTAATAAAATTTGATTCATTTATAATTTGACATTGAACTAAAAGTTTTACAAGGTAAAGCAATCATTTTTAACATTGAAAACAAGGAAAATAAATTATTGTACCCGTAATATGATATAATCGGGGCATCCTTCTAATTTTTTTAAACATTCTTCATAAATAAGCCGAAATTCTTCAAATATGTTAAGATTGTCGGTTTCTCCGCAAACTATCCCAGTTTCATCTATTACTGAGCACTCTTCATTTGAAGATTTACATTTAATCTGATGATTTATTCTCGTGTGAAGATTTGAACAGAAGTTTTTGGACATTATAACGATGAGTAAATGATTTATTTTTAAAAACTGTGATTTTAAAATTCATGTACATTCATATACTACGAAAATAACATTTTTAAAACATTCCAAAAATATTGTAAAATTCGACTGTAAACCGCCATTATAACAAAAGGTGGGAAAATATAAATTTGAATAAACAAATATATTATTTCCCTCATTGTATAAACATTGGCCCCAAGTTCTTCTAAGAATAATTTTAGCAGGGATTTTTTTTTTGTTTCCAATTTCTAGTAATTTCTGTTTACATTTTGTATTATTTCCATACTTGTTTTTAAACTTGAAATTTTTTTAATTCAATTCAATAAAAATTATTTTAAGGTTTTCTTTATTAGAATTATTATTTTTTTTAAGTTATTTAGAAATTAATTAATTAACTCATACATTTGTCATTTAACCTTAAATTGAATTGCACGCAATGGCTTTGGTCAGTAATCCGTCCATTCCCGATAAAAATTGGCGCCCACACTTTGCAGTTTTAGAAACCTCGTATGTACACTTATTAAATTATAAATAAAAAAACATTTTTAATTACCGATTAATTAGAAATAAAAAGTTTGATTTCAGCATGGGTGAAGTAACAATAGAATTATATTGGAAACATGCTCCCAAAACTTGCATGAATTTTGCTGAATTAGCTCGACGTGGATATTATAACAATACTAAATTTCATAGAATTATTAGAGACTTTATGATTCAAGGTGGTGATCCCACAGGAACTGGTCGAGGAGGATCATCTATTTACGGTAAAGAATTTCCTGATGAAATCCATGAAGACTTAAAACATACAGGTAAATTTTTGTAAGGTATTCCTTTGATTTTAAAAGTGAAATTTAAATTCAATATATTTTTAAAATTTTTATTTTTATAATATTTTTAAGGTGCCGGAATTATTTCCATGGCTAATTCAGGCCCTGACACCAATGGATCTCAATTTTATATAACCTTAGCTCCTACTCAATGGCTGGATAAAAAACACACAATTTTCGGTAGAGTCTCTGGAGGAATGCCTGTAGTAAAAAGAATAGGTCTAGTTGAAACGGACAAAGATGATAGACCTGTGGATGATGTTTACATCAAGAGAGGTTATGTAAAAAATTAAATTTAAAACAATAATTTTGTTATAAAAACATTATTGAAAAATATATATGTATATATTAGGTGAAATATTAAATTCACAAATATATAGCTTAAAGCTTTTAAAAAATTGTATAATTGTGATGCACTAATTAGTGAATGTAATAAAAACATTTTTATATTCATATTAAAAGAATTTGATTAGGTTTTTAGTGAAGCAAGTAGTGTTTTAGTTTTTTATATGTGTGTATGTGTGTCATAACAAAATACTATTAACTGAAAATTTATCGAATTTTTTTAATTATACATAAATATATTTACAAATTGCACATCATTTGTAAATTCGAGTCTCAATCACAAATATAAATTAAAGTCAAATTTTTTGTAAAAGTAAATGTATAGTCATACAGTATAAATTTTTTACAAAATTAAAAAATTGTTTTTTCAGTGAAAAAATAAAAACTTATTTTTATTAAATAATAAGTGCCAATTTCATATTTTAATATTGAAGGTGTTGTTCGAGTGATCAGATGTGTAAATAAGCTTTGACTATTATACAACATTTAATATAACATTGTCTTTAATTAATGTAATTATTTAAACTAAATATATTTTATTTTTTATAAATTTGATAATTTTTTATTTATTATTTACAAAATACAATACAAATTTTTAGTAGCTTAATTACTAAAGCTTTTTTTTTTAAAACTATCAAATAAAATTTAGGTAGTGCAATCGATGATAAAAAATTGTAATTTCTCACTGTTTCATTAAATTAATTTACTCTATTACACATATTATCAGATCTTAGAAAATTTTAACATTTTAATATATTCCTTCAGCTATTTGTATAATAATGAATTATATAAAAATCACATATTTTGAAATTTACGATTTTTCCCTAAATTTTTTTTGATTAAATACTGCACAAGTAAATACTACAATATTAATTCATTAGTCATTAGATTAAAACTTTTCATCGCATATGATATTTGTAACTAATATTGACAATTAAAATTTACACCCTAAGGATTTCTAATGCTTTATTATAACATATAGCTATCCAGTCAGGTTGAGTCGCACCCCACTGAATTTGATTTATTTCTCCTTCGGCTGCTGTATATGCTAATATTGGGTCTTCAATTGCTCTGGGCATTTGTTGTATATCCCAAATAAGAGCTTGATGATCATCTCCAGCAGTACAAATGTGACATGAAGAATGAGGAGCCCATGCTATACCATTTACACATGCTCTGTGATTATTCAATCTTGCTACGGGTGTGCATGGAACTCTTACATCTAAAATTATAACTTCACAAGCATCCATTGCAACTGTAGCCAAGTAATTAGGATCTTGTTTATTCCAAGCCAAACGTAACAAAGAGTGTGCTGAGGATCTTCATATATTATTGTTGAATGCTCTAAATGTCGAAGGTCAAACATCCTAACTGATCCATCAGCTCCCACTGAGGCAAACATATCCCTTCCTCCTCCAGCTCTACTGAATGCTATATCGTACACTTCTTTGTCATGAGCTATAAGCTGTGTTTTTACATGTCCAGTAACTAAATTTACTCTACCTAAAACTTGACCAGTTTCTAGACCCCAAATTGTACAAGTGGTGTCTATACTAGAGGTTCCTATTAGATTAGGGTCTACTTCATTCCAATCGAAAGAAGTTAGGGGGGCACAAAAGTCTGAGTTTTTATTATTATTTAACACACATTCTAGTCTTGTTTCTGGTTCTCCAGCTCTCCACACTCTAAGGTAATCACCACTAGTTGCCAATAAGTCAGGATAAACACCTTTACTGTCTGGAATCCATATAATTTTTGTAGTTGGATAAGGGTGATCAAAAGCACTTTTGGAAGTAAATTCTGATGTATCTTCATCCAATGAAACAATTTGCACTTTATTGTTATATTCCTCTACAAAACTTCCCAGAGCCAAACGAAATCGTTTGTCTGGCCGAACAGACCAGTTCATGGAATACAATGGCCATGATGCCTCGTATTTGTAAATTTCTTTTCTTTTCGGAGGTAATACTGGCAAAGCCATTTTAATGCATTCTATTTCTTCATAACGTTAAATTAAAAAAATCTAGTTTCCTAAAATCTATGGCTCAATATGATTTAAAAGTTTTAAAAAACATTGAATTATACTTATAATAAATATCGTAGTACCTTTTAATATTAAAAGTCAGACCTTAATGAATTTTGAAATGTTTATAACTTATTTGATTGCGACTGCTACAATAAAATACAATTAAAATGGCCGAAAAAACTAATAAAAGTTATATTTTTACAGGTCCTCATAACAAATCGTTTTGAGATTCACTTCACTTAAACAATAATGATCACCATTTAATTTATGGCAACAGGTATGTTTGGTTTTTTTTAAAAGCGTTTTTTTGAAATTTTTGTAAAAAGCTACGCCATGATACAATATATATCTATGGACTAAGTTGAGCCAAAATTTTAAATGGAGGATTTCGCGTCTTTCCAGTGTATTAAAAAATATAATTTTAATTTTTCATTTATTTTATTTTTAAAAAAAGTAGAAAGTTTATTTTATTAAAAAATGCTTATTTTTATTAAATAAACGGTTTTTAGATAGTAAAATATATTAAAGCTTATTTGTCGTTATTAATTTGATTTTAAATGTTTAAATTTGGTTATAGAGTATTTGTTTACTGAATAACGATATTTTACATTTTTATTATTATCTTAAAAATGTGGCCAACTCTTGTTGATATGTCCGAAAATGAATGTAAAAGAGCATTACGAAGTTTAGGTGAGCTTATTAATTTTTTTTTTTTCTCTTAATTGTTTTATAATCCGTATTTAACGTGCATTAATAAATTTCATTTTAGAGTTGGAAACCTATTCTAATGTTGTAGCAGTCCTAAGAGCACAAGGGTCTTTTGGCCCCGAGAAAAAAAAATTATTACATGAAATGGCTACTGCGCTAAATATTCCCATAGAACGTCATAAAGCAGAAATTAGAAAAGCAGTTAATGATGAAAAATTAAATACAATTGCTGAGCTGTAAATAAGTTTTTATTATTATTATTATTATTAAAAGGAATTGTGTTTTATGAAACTTATTATAAATTCTTTTATTATTTTGTATTCAAACATCTTATCAGTAAATATCGTACAATTTTTATAGGTTATTTGGTCCTCACACAGCAATCGAATGGGCTATTGAAGGCAGAAGATCAGTACCATTATTACCAAGAGAACCTCCCAAAACTGTTTATTCAATTGTTGGAGATGAAGTTGCTTGTCATCTGGTTTCTGAAAACTCAAAGTTAGTTCCCCCTTCCGAAACAGCCAATAAAGCAAATGGTAATTCTAACTGATACTTTATCTTTTATAATTTCGATTTAGAACTTCTGAAAACATTAATTTATGATTACTATGTGCTTTTTACTAAAGAATATCCTTTACTACAAGAGCCTTCTTCTCCTGAGCCAGCTAAAACTCAATCTTCAGCTATGAGTCCCTCAGGGGTATTAGTTTTACCTTGTGGAACAGCAATTCAGATGAAACGAGAGCTAGAAGAAGAAGAATATCTTAGAAAAAAAAGAAAATCATCTTTATCATCGGAAATTAATTCTAAAACATCAATTAGTCCAGCATCTCCTCCCTCATCTTCAAAGGTTTTTATCTTTTTATCTTTAAAAGTTTTTTTGTTTCAGCATGGGTAATAATTTTATTTATATATTTTATTTTATTTTTTTGTAGGTTATAATAGTTTCTGGCTCTGAAAATGCTGGATCTTCAAGTATTTTACAAAAGACATTAAGTGTACCTATAAAAACAGTGCCATCTAGCAGCAAGCCCACGGTTCTTTACTCCCAAGCTGTGCCCCAACCCACGAATGTAATAACAGCTGAACCTTCTAAAATTAGACCAAAATCTATAACATCTGCTTCTATACCAAAGCCTAGATCTAGTGCTATAGTTGTATCTAATCAGGGTAGCAATATTTCATCACAAATAATTCAATTGAAAAGTACAAAACCTAATTCATCTAGCTCTGTCGTTCATTTAAAATCAGCACTTCAAACTACCAAACACACAGTTCCGATACAAACCATATCAGCTATGCAAGTAAAAACTCAAAATCCTCAAAGTAAAATATTAGTTCAACAAAAAACTTTACCTAGAACGTTATCAAAAACAGTTCAGCCGAAAACAGTAAATAATCCTCAAACAAAATCAATACACACTGCAAAAACGGGACAAGTGGGAGTAGTAGTTCAACAAAAGCCGACAAAAGGTGTAATGACAAATGTGCAAGTAAAAACTCCACCCGGTTTTACCAATATTCCCTTACATTTAAGAACAAGTGCCAAAAGTCAAGGGTTGCAAATCAAACATGATACAGGTTGTTAAAATAAACTATTATTTATCATTTAAAAATTCATATTTAATAAATAAATTCACTTTTATTACACTACGATTTACGATTTACGATTTCAGCAGGTATGAAAATGTTAGCAATGTCTGGAGGAACAAAAATTTTACCAAAACCAAGTCAACCTGTTTATATGGTTTCCACGAGTAGTTCTGCATTATCCATGGTCACTCGAACGATTCCAACGAGTAATTAATTGCTTTATTTTTTTCGTTTTAAAATAATTCTCGTTTGTTTAATTAATTTTTTGTATTTTAGGTACATCTTCTAGAAATTTAGGATCTTCCTCTTCTGGTGCAACTTCAGTTAAGCCTTCTCAATCAAACGTATTCACTCCTAATAAACCAGTACAAACAGTTCATTTAATGGCTCAACCTCAAACGACAAGACGACAGCAAAACGTTGTTTTATTTCAAAAAGGATCGACACCGAAAAACCTACCTGTTGCACAAACGGGAAAAGTATACTTATAAATTATTATTATTATTATTGGTGTTTGTTGCTAAAACAATTAGTTTAAACTGAAATCGTATTTGAATTTTAATTATTTAGGAAATTGTTAGTAAAATAGTTATGCCAAAAGCTTCTCAAGTGGCGTTGACTTCTGTGACAAAACCTGTGACCACGTTGTCGAATAATAATATCACGCAATCCGTTTCGGGCATTCCAGTAGGACAATCTCAGGTTCTTAACAATTGCAGAAACCAAAGCGAATGTAAAAAGTTATTTGAATCAATCAAAAAAACTTTTTTCTTTTGCAGTCTGGTAATGTCATTCTATTGGATTTGAGTAATCAAGAATCTATTTCGAAAAATGCCGCCATTGCTGAATTATTACAAGCATCTGGTCTTTTGGGAGATTCTCTAACCGTTTTAGACAAATCAAAGAATGTTAATTCGGGGGAAGAAGTAGAAATTGTAAATGCGTCGGAATCTCAAATATTAGAAATCGAAGAAAAAGATTTAAAGCAACAGGAAGTTACTACGAGAGAAAATTCAGGGTCTTTTTCAGTTTCGACATTATCCATAGGTGAAGTAAACTTCGGAAATTTATGTCGTAAAGAAAATAAAATTTTTCCTATAATTTTTACTTATAAAAATTTTATAGAAGAGGCTGTAGAAATGTTAAATCGATCTGATACGCCAGAGACTAGAGCATTACTTAGCCAAGCAGGAATTCAAATATCTGATGAAATCGGAGATAGCGAAGAAGAAGAAGTTTTAGGAGTTAAAATGGACGATACGGATTTCGAAGAAGAAGTAATTAATTAATTTGATGTTTCTTCTTTAAATTTTCTTTTCTTTTCCAACATCACATTAAAAATTATTAATTTTAAGGGAAACAAAAAAGAATCGGCGACAGATATCGGAGAGCAATTAGATCAAAACGTTGATATTTACTCACAGAGTAGCACAAGCGAAAGTGACACAATTGGTTCAACGTCGGGTGTCATGGCCGTTTCCGCATCATTGACTAACAACAGACCTAAAACTATGGATATTTTTAGCACGGCTCTAGCTTCCGCCGACATTAATTTAGATAATTTTATGGAAGAAGAAGATGGTAAATGATTTTAATTGTACGAAAATAATAATAATAATAATAATTTTTCGACTAATTTTTTAAAATTTAATTTCACGGGTAAAGAACCGGAACAATCGTTTAACGAAACGCCGGGTTCTCCTAAAAGTGAAGAAACAATCATAGCACCGCCTTCTGATGCAAACGAACAGTCTTTTGATTTGGGAGAAGTCACGACAGAGTCTAATGAAAATCCATAATGGAGTTATTATGCAATGAATTAGTTTTGATCGAAACTGACTTTTTAATATAAATATATATAATAGTGATGTAACATATAAATAAAAATTTATTTTAAGTGCTTTTTTTTTTTTTTTTTAAACACGTAAAGGACAATTATTGATAAAAATTTAATATTAATCAAAAATAAAAAAAAAATAAAAAAAAGAGAAAATTATAAAAATAAAATGTAGCATTTAAATAATAATTTATTTCATTTTTTTTTTTTTCGTTGTACAAAAAATAAATTTTTTACTTATTAAGAAGAAAGATTACCGACAAGAAATATTCGAACAGTTTTATCTTGAGATGTTGTCATTATTAAACTTCCATCGCTGTAAATTAAATTAAAAAAAAAAAAAAAAATGGAGAAAAAGAGATTAATGAAAATAAAATTTTTTCAAATTCAAAAGATACAAAACGTTGATGTGAATTTTAGAAAAAAAAAAAATTGTTTTTTTACCTAGATAACGACATGTTGAGACAACTTTTATTATGTCCTAAATATTCCTTAATTACTGAGCCGGCTTTTGCATCAAATGCTCGTACTACCCCCTCAAAATGACAGGTAAAAACTATTGGTAAAATGGGATGCCACGCCAAGTAGTTTATGCAAGAAGAGAAATTATATTTGTGTCTCAAATTTTGTTTTGGAATATCCCATATAATTAAACTTCCATCTAAACTTCCACTTGCTGCAATTTGACACGAATCATCCTTACAAAAAGAAACTGCTTCTATGTAACTGTCTTTTTCCGAGTTTTGAATCCCTTGTAAAACTGACACCACCTAAAAAATTTTATTTTACAAAAATGACCATCTTTAAAAAAAAGTTTATAAAAAATATATTTTTACTATTTGATTTAAGAAACTACTCACTTTTCCATAATTTGAATTTATTAAAAGTACTGCTCCGCTTGTGCAACCACAAATAACCAAATTATTATTTTTATGTACATCTAAACAAGATATTCCACCGATTTCTTCGAAAGGTTTTATGTCTTTTAAAATGGTTCCTTGTTTAAGATCGACAATTTTAATCGTGCCATCTTGGTATCCACACACTAAATTTTTTCCTAAAATATTTCCTAATTGATTAAACATTTACCAATAATTGGTTTCGTAATGAAATAAATAAAATAATTTACCATCGTGAAGAATTTTTCCAACTAAACAATTTTGACCGAAAGAAGCGAGAACCATTTTTTGATCTCCCGAAGGTATTCTGTACATATAAATCATACCGATTGTGGAAGAAGCAACTAATACATTTGTTCCATGATGCCATTGAAGCCACTAAAGTAAGTATTTCATTACTTATTTCATTTTTTTTTTTTTTTTTTAAAATTTAAAAAATAAATAATTTACTAACACTTGGTTCATCATCAAGCTCGAAAGTTTCTATTAAAACATAATCCTTGGTTCTCCATACTTTTATTATACCATTTAAATCAGCTGTTGCCAAATAATTACCATCATAACTAAAAGAAACAATTTCTACTGAATCCTAGAATCACATGACAAGGTAGTAGTAATAAAAATTTATTTTTAAATTTAATGCATTATTGTTTATTTCATTTTTTTTTTTTTCACTTACTTCATGTCCTTTACACATAAAAAGTTTGTTTCCGTTTGTTGTATCCCATACATAAGCCTTATCATCCATTCCTCCACTAGCAACAATATTATTAGTTTTAGGATGAAATTGACAAGACAAAACACCCTCTGTTAAAAATTAAAAATTGTTTAAAATTATTGATGAAGCAGACGAGTTAACTCAGTAAGAAATATCGATGAAAAGTTTTATTTATAAATTTCACGGTTAACTAACCAGTGTGTTCAGAAAAAATTAACTGAGCATCATCTCTGGATGGTACATTGCTTTCCTCATCTGATTGATCTGAATCAGATTCTACAATGTTAGAAGCTTCATTTTCATCTTCTATTATTTCATATACATCGTTTTCATCTAACATATCTAAATCGCCTTCATTTTCATTAATGTCAGATGGCTCAACAGGGGAATTAGGGGGTGTTTCTTCAGATGGCATTTTATTACACAATTAACCTATTAAAAAAATTTAGCATTTATTTCTCTTATTTATACACCTGAAAGACTCAAACAGGTAAATAATTGAACTGTAAAGTTTAATTTACTATGAATAAAATTTAAAATATTTATTTTTAAATTTTAAAACGTATATCTTTAAATCAATTCAATAAAGTATGCTAATACTTTTGCTATCCACATGCATACTAAATATTTACCCTTTAGATATTAGATATAAGAAAAAAAGTCAATTATCAAAAAAATTTTTATTTTATTTAAATAATTATTTTAACAGTAGTTATAATGTAATTATAATATTAATTATATAATTATAATTATTTAATCATTTAAACGAACAGTAACATATTTCTAATATGGTAATAAAATTTAAAGTAAAGTAATGCCAACATAAAAAAAAAAAGTTTGAAAATAAATTAATTATGATTAAAAAACTTTCAAATTAATGCTTAATTTTAATAAAAAAATGTTTTTAAGAGGAATCTTGAAAAAACAGGTGCATTTTTTGTGAATAATCATGTAAATTATTTATATCAGGCCTATAATGGGGATCAACGCGAAGACATGAGACAACCAAATCCCTTATCTGGAAATTAATTAAATAATTACTATTTTCACTTGTTAAAATAACAATCATGATGATAATAATTATTTTTAATTAAAACACAACCTGTTGAGAATATAAATCGCACGGTATTGGGGGATAATCACAAAATTTAATTTTTTGACATAACGTGTATAAATTCATTTTTTCTCCGCAAAAGGGACTTTGTAAAGTTGCTAATTCGTACAATAAACATCCGGTAGACCAAATATCACTTTTAAAATCATAACCGCACTCATTAATTTGTTCAGGTGACATGTAATAAGGTGTGCCAACAAGGGAATGCGTTATTAAGGTTTTATTACTGAAAAATCTTCCCAATCCCAGATCGCCTAATTTAATCACGCCATTTTTGGTCAAAAAAATATTTGCTGGCTTTATATCTTAAAAAAAATAATGTTATTGTGTTAATTTAAAAAAATAAATAAATTTTATGATAGACAAAAGAAAATAAAAAGAGTTAAAAAATACCTCGGTGCATAATACGTTTTGAATGCATGTGTTGTAAAGCCAAAGTAATTTGGGAAAAATATTTCCAAATATATGTTTCAGGAATCAATAATCTTTCTTTTTTACAATAATTTATTAGTCCAGCAAGATCTCCACCGTCGGCCAACTCCAAAACAATAAATAATTCGTTGGATTCAATAAAAGATTCAAAATATTTAATTATATTTAAATGATTTAATTGCTTTAAATAAAACAAATTTGATTTTTAAAAAAAAAAGTACACATTAAAATTTTCTGTAAACAAAAACATAGGAAAAGAAACCAACCTGTAATATGTTTATTTCTTTCACGCAATCAGATTTTAATTTTTCATCCGAAATTTTTGATATCTTAATTTTTTTTAAAGCAACATTTATTTGCCTTTTTTGACACCGAGCTTTATAAACTTCGCTAAATTGTCCTCTACCAATTTTTGTTTCGATTGAGTATGATAAAAGTAATGGAAAATTTTCTATATCTGGATCCGTTTCAGAAATTGCAACTTCTTTTCTCTCATTCATTTTACTTGTCTAATGTAATAATAGCATTAATTATTTTTATATTTACAAAAGTTTACTAAATTAAACTTACCAAATTATACTTTACTAAATTCCATATTATAATTCACATAAACTTATAATGAATTAAATATTTTTTCTCAAATCCACAGTTATTAACAAGTGCCTACAAGAAAAGTGGAAAATGATCGTTATTAATTCCACGATTTTTTGCGGGACGTTGAAAGTACTACCAAATTAACAAAACAAAAATTGCCAAATACCACGAAAAATAAATTTTTGATCCTGCAGAAGAAACTTGTTTTAACTGTGACAGCTGACAATCTGTTATTTATCAGAACTACTTTAAAATGGTATATTTTATTATTCAAATAAACGTTTTTTAAAAAAATCTTTCATTTTAGAAATCGTAAGCTTTGAAATATTTAAAAACTTTTAAATTTTTTTTTACTTGCAGTCGTTTATGGATAAAGTAGGGTCGTTGTTAGCCAGACCTAACAAAGATCTGGTAGAAAAAGATGATGTTCCTTGGTGGTTGAAATTAGCTGGACGAGGTGTCGGAACTATAGGGGGTGGATGTAAGTAATTTTTATTTATTTAATTTAAAAACTCTTTTTATTTTATGAAAATAATTAATTACAAAAATCATCGACAGAAACAAGTTGAAATTTTTTATCTGTTTCAAGATCTTTTATCATATGAGTAAATTCATAAAATAAATTTAATTTGATATAGTATATTATTTAACAGTTTTATTTTTCTTCAGTTAATTTTAAAAAAGAAAAAAATTTTTTTTTTTTCAACCCCATTATTGATTTTTATGACTTTCTGCTTTCAGTGGCTATTTTCTTTGGTGTGTGGAATTGTGTAGGCATTTTGTTGGCCAAAAGTGATTGCCTCTTAGCAGGTATTTGGCAAATGTAAGTACGATAATTTTAATAAGCACTAATTAGAAACTAAAAAGAATTCAAGTGAATTTATACTAAAATTAACCTGATCTTTATACTATTGTTAAGTGTACATATTTTTTATTATAGGTTGGCCGGTTTTTTCGTAATTATAGTGGAAGCACCATGTTGTTGTATTTTTATAGATTTTGTTCAAACTTTTAGTGACTGGGTTGACAAAAGGCCATTTTGGAATAGAGGTCTTTTTTATATATCGTAAGTTATAAACTATTTAATTTGTATAGAATTTTACCATTCTAAGAAATCATTATGTTTGTTTTTTTCATGATGTGTAATTTTTTAAAGATAAGAACAATAATTTTCAAATCCTTTAAAATAGTTTTATGATCATTTTATACTATTTAAAGTTTTTTTTTTTTTTTTTTTCAGAATTGCAATTCCGCCAATATTTTTGTGTTTCTCATTTAGTAGTTTAATTGGTAGTGGTTTGATATTTGTAACCGGGGTAATTTATGGATTTATGGCCCTTGGGAAAAAGTAAGTAATTTTGATAATGATAATAGTAATAATAATAATAATAATAACAACAACAACGTAAACTTTTAATAAAATTTTTGAACTAATTTATTGCGATAGAGTTATTATTAATTTTTTCTGGCTAACATAACTGTAAATAACAAATTTTAATAGAGGTTCTCAGGAAGATATGGCTGCAATGGCTGCTCCACATCAAGGCTTTACCTCTCCTACAGGTGGTCAGCCTGATCATTCGATTACTCTTATGGAAGACCCAGATGTGTGGCGTCCAACTTAAATTCCTTAATTACAAATCAATTAAAATAAAGGCAGGGCTTATATAAATTAAAAGATTTTGCATGACAATTGAATTTGCTTAATAATTAAGTAATTAGTTTTTATTATTACTTACTAAAAATTTTAGATTTTTTTTTTTTTTCCCCCAGTAACTAAAATACTAAACTATTTTTTTTTTTTTTTCTCTCTCTCGAAGAAAAAGTTATTTTATTTAAACAATTCTTTCATATTAACGATGGTTTTTTTTTTTTTTAAATTTATATTAATTTATTGGTATCTACTAACTGCATACTTGGCTGACTTTTGTTAATTTTTTATCATTTTTGCTTTTATCTAATTTGAAATAATTGGAAACTTTTCATTTTGATATATCTGCATGATTTTTTTTTTTTTTTTTTTTATTATTATTATTATTGTTCTAATTTTAACTTTTTTATATTAGGATTATATTTATTTGTTATATTTAGTAAGTTAAAAAGGATTAAAAAATAAATCCGGGTGTAAAAAAAAAAGGCAATTTTTTCTTTACAATACTGTCACTATGTAATTTTTATTTTAAATTAGAAGTGTAACTCGTTCTTTTTAATTAAAAATTTGAAATACTCGTAGGATTTGTTGATCGATTATTTTTCATGCGGTTAACATTTTTTAAATTTTCTTTTTTCTTTTTTTTTTTTTTTTTTTTTTTTTTTAACCAGGGCGTCCGCTGGAGAAATGAGGAGTAACGCCGTCAACGATAGTAATCTGTCTGTATTTCAGCCTAATACAAACGTGAACATGAAATCTTCTCTAACGCAAAATGCTCAAGACATAGCTCGGGATATTCCTTAGGGAATAATCGAAGAAGGGAAAAAAAACTCTTTAGTGCTTGTTAAAAGGCTGATAAGACGTGAAATAATTAGACTGATAATTTAAAAAAGGAAGAAGAAAAAAATAATTACTATATTAGATTAATAAGTGTATACATAAATGGTTGTTTGTGAAAAAAGTTAGGCACCAAAACATTAGATAATTTTTTTTTTTTTTTTTTTTTTGTCTTCATTGCCAAATGTAGTAGTAATCAATCACAAGATAAAGGATTATTTTTACGTTGCACAATGTTCGAGACCGTTCCAGGCCAAATTATCAAATGTGGCGGTTCGCTTTAACTGCATCTCATTATTTAAAACAAAAAGAAATCAATTTAAAAATCAAATTTCGTGTTTCTATTGTATAAATTAACTTATTTCACATAGTTTAGAATTTGTAAAAAAAAAAAAAAAAAAAACGTTTTCTTAAAAACGATATATTACTCACTGCATTTACAAAGTAGTAGATGATGATGATGATTATGAAAATGCTTGAAAACTGTCTTTTAAATATTATTATTATTATTATTTTTTATTAGGTTTTTATTTTTCTATCAGTTTTGTTATTAGTTTTATCGTATATGAATGTTAGAATTTACCTTTTTTGGATGATTGATAATTAATTATTAATTTTTAATGATATTTTAAAATACAAAAAAAGTATTTTAGGATTAATTAGTTATTATTATTATTACTGCATTACGTATTATCTCATAAAAAAAAAAAAATATTTATGTATATCGAGATAAAATTATATGTAAAAAAAAAAAAAAATTTTCCCAATTTTCCGCGCAATTATTTTTATTAAATGAAATACTAATAATAATTATTATTATTAAAACGAAAGGAAGGTTAAGAATGAATTAAAAGACAGTTGGAAATAAATTACTTACTCTTTTTATTTTATTTTATTATTATTATTATTTAATGAATTTAAATAATCAATATTTATTTATTTATTTTGTTTTTTTCTTGCCCATCAATGTGTGTTAATTAATTTTTGTTAAATTGTTTCTTTTGACAATGACGAACGAATTCATCGTGGTGGTTATTATTATTATTATTATGAGATTAAAAATAAATAGTAAGGAAACAGGGGAAACTTTATTATTATTATTATTATTACAAAGGAAATTTTATTATTTATAATAATAATAAAAAAATTAATTTTTTTTAATAATTATTTATTTATTTTTTGATTACGTCATACAATTATTATTATAATATAAAATGTAATAACAACACACATTTAATTAATTATTTAAACATGTAACATTTTTCTATTATTTAATAATAATAATAATTATTTATTGAAATTTTAATCATATTAATTAATCAATAGATTATGTATATGTATGTATGTACAACACACATAATTAATATTTTTTATTAGACGTTAAATTATATGTGTTAGCATTCCTGTGATCATATCATGTTTTATTATATATATATAAATATGTAATTGTATTAACTAATATAAAAATAATAATAATAATAATAATAATAATAATAATAATGTTCATTATACGCAAATTTACATTGCAATTTATAAAATTTGGCTAAAAAGTTTTTTTTTTTTATAGGTAATTAATAATAAATACCTATGTAAATTATTTTTTATTAATTTTTTATTTTTATTAAGGAATTCATTTGTCTAAGTTTTTTTAAACTTGTTTATAAATTATTATTATTATTATTATTATTTATTACTCTGTCATTATCTATAATTGAAGTAATGCTTATTTATATATATTTAAATATAAATGTAATTTTTTGATCAATTTACGAATAAATTTATGTAACACCAATAAAAAAAATTTCTTCTACGTAATTAATTAATTAATAATTTATTTTGTTTATATTTGTATTAAACGGGAAGGGGGGGAGGAGGGAAGAAGGAGGAAGAATTTATTTTTTTTTACTTTTAATTTTATTTAATTATTATGGAACGATTCGTGGAAGTACATTTTTCAATAAATATATATATGATAAAAAAATAATAATAATAATTAAATTTAAATTTAATTTTAGAATTAATATAACAAAAAATAAATAAATTAGGGGAGGGAGAGAGGGAGGAGGAAGAAAAAGATTTAATGATTTTTTGTTTTTGTTTTTCTTTAAGGAATGTTTTTTTTTTTTTTTTAAATAAAATAATTTCAAGTTTATTAATAATAAAATAAACTTATTTAATTTGGTGAAGGTGTTTTAATAAAAATTTGCAACCGAAAAACGTCACATTATTAAAACTTAACTCGATAATATGACGTCATAATATTTTATTTATGTTTTTATTTATAAAAAAAAATCATTCCTCGTTGCCATAATTTTGTTATATTAAAAATTTATTTAATCTTTTATTATTATTATTATTATTATTATTATTATTTATTTATTTATTTATTTAATTATTATTATTATTTCGTTAGTAAATTTTGTTTACAATGTATGGTAAATTTAGGTAAAATTAATTAATTTTTTTTTTTTTTCATAAACGGTTATTATTAAAAATTATATTATTAGCCACAAAAACAAATTATTATTATTATTATTATTTCATTTATTTATTTTATTTTTTTTCGATTATTATTAATATTGATTTATTTATTTTTATTTTTTTTTTCATATTGTAAAATTTATTTACAAAAATTCTACATTTTAATAATAATATTTATTATTATTATTATTTTAAGAAAAAAAA